AATCGGCCGGCTCGACCGGAGTGATACCACGGCCTCACAGAAAACCGACGTGAAACAACAGTTTGCGTTGTATTCGATCATGTGAATGAGATTACAGCAGTCCCAATTACCTCCTCCCCAATCTCCCTAATCCCTGAATCATCAACAATCCTCAAATTCCTAATCCCCAAATGCAACGCACTTGTAATGCCTCTGGTGTTCCGGGTGTCCATGGGGGACGCTGATTGCTTACCATCAGGTGATCCGTCTGCTCGTTTACCGGCTCATCTCACAAAAAAATTCTATGACATGGAACTTATAACGTAAATAGTGAAAAGTGGGTGTTACATTGTAGGTACAATGGCATTAAATGCCGTTGGTAATGCATGCACCTCTGCCTAATATTCTATTCTAGATAAATGCAAATGCTTGTTGTGAAAACTGTGATCATACAGTCATCGCATGGACCATATTGCATGGAATTGTAGTCATTTCACAGACCATCATCAACAGCCTATAAATGCCCACTGCTGAGCAAAGCCTCTTCTCACACGGAGAAGGTTAGAGCGTTAATCACCACGCTTGCTCAATGCGAGTTGGCGATTTCAAACTTATAATTAGAAATTATAAGTCCAGGTTTCCTCACAATGTTTTTCCTTCACCGTTTGTCAGTGGTGTCTAAATAATCTTAGAAAGTACATATAACTCGGAAAAAGTCACATTGGTACTTGCCGTTGGTAGGTTTCGAACCCGCACCCTCATGCATAAGAAGTGGGCGTCTTAAACCTCCGGGCCACCACGACATTTTTACCATCACAGACCATATTGAATTTAAAAACGATGCACTGTTTGCAACGAATGCATCAATTTTATATGAAAATATGTAGACATCGAATAAAATTTAACAGTGCACTTTAAAACTTGCAAAACAAAAAACGAAATATAGATTTCTTTATGATATTGCGGTCATAAGATGTTTAGTATCTAAGCTTGCTCTGAATGCCAAATTGTAAAATAATAATTACATTTTAAATTAAAAGAGCAGATAGACGCAAGAGATAAAAAGAACGGCATTAAGTATTAGGTGGGTAACTCAATTTGAATAATATTTTATAGTATTTTAGGTAATTACCCTTTTCTCAATAAAAATTCCCAATATACTAAATTAAGTTATATTTTTATGGTTATAAAACGAAGACGATGCATCGAGGGCTACGAAAAATAAATTACTTAAAAAGTAATGGATTTTAAGCAACACTAACAAAGAATCTCACATAATCTAGATATAGTAATTGAATCTGTATTATTATCATTCATCTTTTTCTCAAACATGTCGTAATCACATTTTAATCTAAACTAAACACTGAATTATTTCTATGCTTATAACAAAGACCTTTGACCTTAGGTACTGCTCCAATTTGCAAATTTTTGTCATTTGATTTTTGACTTTATTTCTAAATGATAGAGTTGAAAATCTAATATAGAAATTTGACAGAAATGCTAACCTGTTGCCTGCACATTAATTAGTGGTACACAAGGCTACACATCGAGCTTTACATAACCAGTATAAACTGAACGTTAAATGTGCGGAAAGATGATGCGACGCGACACCAGGATAAACTGGTTTTGTGTAGATTGATGTATGGTCGTGTCTACTCAAAACATAAATGGTATCAGTCTTGGATCAATTCACACAGTTTTATATAGACTAAAATGGCAATGAAGGTCTTTTCTTTACCTTCTGAACGTACATATTAACCTATACAAATCCAGTTTATTATGAACTCGCTTTATATAATCATTCAGCACATTTGAAGGTTAATTTATGATGGTGTCGTATGACTCGATGTGGTAGTCGTGAGTACTAAAAGAATACAATGCGTAATTAGATAATTATATATCTCGCTTGTTCATGACAAGTGTAGACAAAAATCCCATCAAAATTATTTAACTAATAAATCTTGATGGGATTTTTGCCATAGAAATTTTAAAGACTATTTTAATGTCTTTGTTCTTAAAAATGTGCCTCAATGTATGTACCTCTAGATATTAACAATAGGACAACTAGATCTGATTGAAGTTATCGTACCGTATTATACCATAATGGCATTAACAAAATAATGATACATTTTTTGATAACAATGCTCAACTGGAAACTATTTAAAGGAATATTTTTTATACAAAAATATTGTTTAAGTAAAAGTTCTTTAAACTTGCTTTTGTGAGTTCTTAAAGAACTTTAACCTCAAATTTTTCAATAAATCGTTCAAGTAATCAAAGCTTTAATGAGATGTGTAATAAAATTTTACTTAAACTGTCAAACACCAAGCGGTCTCCGGTGACCGCAACCTATTGTTCTATAATTGTGTCTACAAAACCGGTACTCGACGGGTTAATCGATGCGATAGATGATCGTAAGATCCGATCATTGCATATCATTCTTTACAATTTACCGTTTATTTCTATTAGAATCGATATAAAACCTCTTTTCGAGTTTTACAATCAGAATAAACACGTTTGTTGACGTATATCGTGTCCAATCACTTTCGTGTTCGATAGGTTTTTACAAAATTCTCTTATTTTTGATTTTGAATATCACTATATTGCTTTGCTGTTCTTTATAACATATCATGTTATGTCTGAACAAATTTTACTATATTTTTACCTAATAAAGCACGTAGTTCAATATTATTTTCGCTATGTGGCTACAAATCCATGAATTCGTGTTTTAATACTGCAGAACTCTTAAATAGAAAAAGAATAATCCTATCCTCTTAAATAGAATATAACTTCGACTGTTTCGTTAGTATCGAACCTCCAGCAGGCCGAAACTATCACCAGTCTTGGTAGCAGTACAAACATGACAATACAAATCAGGCGCACAATTTTTTTTTCATTTTCATTTCATGTGGAATGTCACCCAATCCCGCCTCAACTCAAACGGAACTCAATTTTAAGACGCGCTTACGCTCCGGTAGACAAACATATTTGTTTACCAATTAAGCTGAATTTGAAACGAATACAACAAATTACACGAATTGATCCAATAATTCTGAATTCAATTCACATTTTCGTTATTCATATTAATGAAAATAAAAAGGAACCAAAAGAAACGTTTATTTGACAAGGCTCAGATAGGTCAGAATTTCTGAATTTTCAGTGCATAGGTAATATATGTAGCATGTTTACTGTATTGCGTAAGTATGTAGTATTTACATGTCAAAAAGCTAATAATATTCCACCTTAGGTAACTGGCTTAAGACGCAGTATTTTTGACCTTTAATGACTTGATGAACAAAGATTTATTAATAACATATATAATATTTAAAATGCATTCATGATCACCAATAGCTATAATTAATTATTATGTTTTCGACTTACTTAGAATGGCTTGCTAGGCTTGAAACTAGTCGAGTTTCTCGTCAAACAGTTACGTGAGTAAACCGAAAACATGATAATTAATTTAGTATGTCTCATGAAAGATCTAACATATAAATAGCTATAATAGTACTCAAATCCTAAATTTAATAGTTAATCTATTATACTTAAATACTAAACTTTTTGACAATTAACTCGTCGAGTACCGTCATTATAGACACAATTATAGAACAATTTTTTTTTTTAAGCGAGGAAAATCATCGAATGACTGGTCCCGCCTGGGTGAGGCGGGAGGGAGTGTCAGACTCTTACTGACTAAAAACCACCCCGTTCCTTCTCCTGTACGTCGAGCCGGAGCCCCGGTTACCCGTTAGGTTCTCCGAGACAATTATAGAACAATAGGTTGCGGTCACCGGTGACCGCTTGGTGTTTGACAGTTTAATGACTCACTAAGTCAATATAAATACAATTAACAATGAATTTATGTTTTAGACTAGGTCGTTCTAAGTTTATGCGAATTTTTCTTCTTACCTCGGTACTCCAGAAATTATATTTTTGTACAAGAAGTGACCATTTCATTAATGACCCTTAACACATCAGTTGCAGATTACGTCCCACAATTAGACAAATTCATTACCGGTTAATAATCCTCGCGAATAAATGATTTCTTGTTTTTTTTACATAGAATCATCGAATGGCTGCTCCCGCCTGGGTGAGGCGGGAGGGAGTGTCAGACTCTTACTGACTAAAAACCACCCCGTTCCTTCTCCTGCACTTCGAACCGGAGCCCCGGTTACCCGTTAGGTTCTCTGCGACAGATATGTATATACACTTGTAAACACAATGGTAGTATAGGGCGACTTCGATAGTTTTTTCATTTTATAAAATAATTTTGTAGGTAAGTATAGCTATATGTATACATTTTTTAACTTAAGTACCTACTTAAGTTCAAAAATGTAAGGTAGGACAAAAAAAAATAGTATATCAATATTTTGTGAATGCATGCATATGCATATATGAAAAAAATAAATTATTAGGTATATATATTATAATTTTTTTTTGTCCATCCTGGTTCATCGATGTTTTGACCTTAAAACAATTTAAAGTTTATTGCTTTTTGGGTAGGTAGTAGGTATGGCTATCAATATTAATTTTCCTGTTCTTATATAATTTGCATTATAGCCAAGTATACTTTACCTGTATGACATAAGTCAGATATTATATGATGACATATATACGCTATTTTTTTTAGACATTTTAGTTCTATCATCCTTAATATGATCTAAATTGCGACGTTTGGATTTTAAACCCATAATGTGGATTTTTACCAAAGAGCACGCTCAATGCAAAATAAGTATTTATGATCAAGTATGTGTGAATTAAAATTCATTTATATACTTAAAGGAGTGATCAAAGTAACAAACAGTATGAATAAATACTATTGTTATATTGTTTTAAATAAGTGAAGAAAAAAGGTTGTGATATAAAATCGCTTTTGTAAATCTATACGTGTGTAATGACTATCACTTGAACAGATAACACGTATCGTCACGTACGGTTTGATCTACCTACAAAACCTTTATCGGCGTGCGCGCGCCGAATGTTTATTACACCGCCGCCTGCGCAGCTCCCTTGCATTTTGTTCCGATCTAACGACACGCGCGCTTGCCCGCACGCAGCCTCCGGTGTAGCCGCATTTTCGAAAAATAAAATTACAATCCAAAAGGATTGTATGAAATAATTATTTCGAGTAAAATAATTATTTTGATTAATTTTTAATGTGTACTTTAAAAGTGTAGTGTATTTGACTGTAGTATTATCGAGGTAATCACTCGAGGGATCTAGTGCAATTACATTGGTGATTTTGGACATTTTTAGTTGGTGAAGGAATTAGCGAAAATGAACGGTAGGTTATCTTTTTTCTACATAAAAAGTATTAGGAATTTCTTTGAGAAGTGAACCTATTAATTATAATTATTGTTTGTAGGCGACTTGCTCTCATTATGGCTAACACATTCCAGTTTTTTCCACGATGTCCACATACCCTTTGTTAGATACGGTACGGTAATTAATACTGTATCGAAACTATTTCTTCGTAAACATTTCTTAATTTATACGAACCTTGTTACACTACTATTATCTCCTGTATAATATATTGAAATCGATAATCTAAAAAATATAAATGGGTTATTATAATCAATGTTTGAATTGCAAATTATGTTTTGGTAAAAAACAGTTTTAATTTAAAATATAATGGAAGTACCCACTAGAATTGGTTAATCGATATTAAAATTAAGTTTTTTATATCAAAATACTTGTTTCATGGTTTAATTTTAGTTGTTTTTGCGTCTAGAATCAATAATATTATGGATATCGGAAGTAAAATCAGGTTTTCCTTCTCTGACAATTAAATATTGCTCGTTATAGTTTCTAGAATTTTTTTCCATAAATTTATTTTTACGTTCACAAATCTTTTGATACACACAACTAATTGACTTTTTTATAACACTGTTTTGCCATTTATTAAGGTAATACAATGTTATGCGTGGTTTCGAAATGTGTGCAGATTTGCATCGATCGTGAGTTTCACATGTTACATTGTGTTTAAAAACAATTTGCATGGGCGTTAAGAATCACCTTTTATGTCAGTGAAATACTGTATAAGGCATTAAAAACCTTTAATTCTGTAATAGTAGTAGAAAGATTAGTTATTTTGAATTCTGAGTTGCGTCCAATGTATGCACGTTTGCCTTCTATTTATAAAAAAATAATGAATGAAGATGATTTCATCCTATTATTTGAGCATAATGAAAATAGAAATACTTATATCCTACTTGAAATAAAGAAAGAAAATCCATTTACTACACAACGACACACACGTAGACATGAATACAGGGACCTACACACAAAAAGACAAAAAGATACACGAAGGCTCGAGTCCACGGCACTGATTTTTAGCACCAGCCTCAAAAACAATAAGGTTCTTCTGTGATATGATTTTGTTTCTGGAGTTGGGAAGATTTAGGAGTCCCTTCCCCCCTTTTCTCTGTTACAACTAGTAGATAATATTTCGTAATTTATTCAAGTATCTTCACACTATAGTGAACAATTATTACTTTAAGAATTCATTACGATTAGTCACTATTACCTTCATTGTTGAGAAATAAAATCTGTCGATACAGTTTTCCGTTGATGCTAAAGTTGGAATTGCGATTCAGGAAAACTAGAACGTACAGTATCTGTTCGCTAGTAAAATTTTCAGATATGAATTCAAGCATTCCTGGTTATAAATTGGGAAGAGAAAAATTTTATTTATCTACTGCAAAAAAAAACTTTACATCTACTTATGTATTAATACTGACTGCACGGTTGGCGCACAACTTGTAGTGAGTGCGATTCCCGCATGGACCAACTCTTTGTGTGATCCACAAATTGTTGTTTCGGGTCTGGGTGCAAGTTGAATGTCATATGTGAACTTGTATGTTTGTAAACGCACCTACGACACAGGAGAAAATCCTAGTGTGGGCAACGTTTTTTTAAATAATTACAATAATAAGTTTATTTACATGTAAGAAGTTTTATGTTAAATTCATACCCATCATAACTTACTAGTCCTGTATTTACTATTTTCATATTTTATACAAACTCATGTAACTAATAGGTATATAAGGATGAGTAAGCATATAACTAATTTATTATTACTAAAGGTACTAAACTGAATAAGTCATGGTGTCCAAGATGAATGGCGATGGTGATGACGTAATGATTTTAAGTCTATCTAGATGTATCATTTATCTAATGATGGTTTTGGTTTAAACGTGTCAGGAAAAAATTGTATGATTCTTATGGATTTTCCTGTTTAGATATGACTAGTTATTTATCGTACTGAGATTTGTATTGAGGTAGTTATAGTATCTTTAATTCTGTATTCCACAAGTTTGTATATCTAAATGCACGGTTGACGCGGTGGCTGGGGAACTGGCTGCCGCACAACGTGTCGCGGGATCGATTCCCGCATGGAACAAGTCTTTGTGTGATCCACAAATTATTGTTTCGGGTCTGTGTGTGATCTATATGTGGACAACACAGGAGAATATCCTAGTTTTGGGGTAACGATATGATTTAAAAACATAGAAATATAAATAAATATCAAATTGTTGTAACAAACGCACAGAATAATTAAATATAAAAAAAAAACAAACGCGATCAACATCGTTTTCGCTGTTTTAAGAAAAAGATCCGCCTCGCTATGGGGGCGTGTACGTTCCAGTCCCAACAGTATCCTGAACGTACTCACAGACAGATGGGACTCCAAATTAACTCAGCATTGGATGAGTCTTCATACTGCTGTTTATTAAATTGTTTCTATTTATTATTATGTGCCTATTTCATGTGTAAAATTTATATGGGTTAATGTTATTGTACCTGAAATAAAGATTATTATTATTATTATATTAAAATCGTGATTATTGAATTGCGACCTTATCTACTTACAATAAAAATCACCTACAAATATTACCTTTTATTATAGGGTTAGGTACCTACTACTCCACAATTCTACTGATTACTATACCAGATGATTACAAGACTCCAAGGCAATTACAATTAAAGTTATCAATGAAACAAACGTAATCACAACCAATGGGTTGCAAGCGATGGCTTGACCATGAAATTTGAATCAAGTTATGATTTTTCTTGCCCTTGTTCTCATCATAAATTATATTTATTGAATTAATCTTTTGAGATAAATTCATTTTTATGTTTAGGGAATTTTCTCGAAGGTGTTTGTTTTTAATTTTTATTGTGAGGTCATGGTTACTTTAAAGGTAAATTATGGGATTAGTGATAAAAGTAGATTCAGGTCAATTGTATATTATGCAATAACCAATATTTGCTGAAAGTTAAATATTTACCATGACTGCCTCGTTGGCCAAGTGGTCGAAAGTGCGATTGCGGGGCAAGGGCTCTCGGGTTCGTTTCCCGGGTCGGGCAAAAATAAATTACACTCAATCCACAATGTTATTATATTTGATGCACAACAAGAGTATTTCGGCTTACTCACGTACTTATTTGACGAGGATCTCGACTAGTTTCAAGCCATGCTAGAGGCTCATATAATATAATAATTAATATAGTACGTCTCACGAAAGTTATAATATACTTAAATAAAGTTTGAGTGGTGAGTCATTAATAAAATGAGTTCGTAAATGAAGAATTCTTGAATTTAATTCATTACTTGGTTTTTGTTCAAGTTACTTACTACTACTATATGCAGACTTTAGAAAAACATTCTAAGTCTCAAAGCCAGTAATGTGCTAATATATTATTTGCCATTGTTGTGCCTGAAATTAAAGTTTAAATTATTTATATAAAACAGTAAAAGAAAAAACCCAACAATGATAAATAAAATATTAAATAAATTATATATGACAAGTAACATAGAAATTCATATTAAGTACCTACCTATTTAAATTGTCAAACACCAAGCGGTCACCGGTGAGCGCAACCTATTGTTCTATAATTGTGTCTATAATGACGGTACCCAACGAGTTAAAAAGTATTTTGTCTTGCATTCACTCGTCCATAATAAATTATAATATATCCACGCTTGAAGCCACCAATAAGCTAGCTCTTTCGTTTTCTACTAAAATGACAACGATAGGTATCAATTAACAACGAATGTTTTATTAATTTGCTGACATTTTACTTGCTGAGTGGTGAAAATTGCACCCTAAAACAATTATATATAAGGTTTTTATCCAATGTCAATATGTCATCACTTTTAATCCTCATCTTCATTTCGAAGACTGTTGATTAAATTTGGACGTAACTTACAATGGGCCTAGGTGCAATTTAATTTACAAGAACGGTATTCAAAGTGCAGCTAATATTGTTCGCGATATAAAGTAAAGAAAATCATTAAAGTCAATGGTAATGTTTATTCATAGATTTCTCACAGCGAATTCTCACGAGGTCAGAAATGCGAGGACATTTTATTAGTTCATTTATGTTGCATAATCTAAATATATACATAATACCGTCTGATAAACAAACGGACATTTATATTATACACAACATCATTTTATTTGAAAAATCGAATACTCATAGTCATTGAAAATTGAAAAGTATGTGTTACATTGTAGTGGCATTAGTGCCGTAATATGCACCTCTGCCTACCCCTTCGGGGATAAAAGGCGTAATGTTATGTAATGTCATAGTCATTGATTGTGAAGAGGTTTATTTTCATGAACATATTAAGCTTCCTTTGAGTTATATGATGCAATACTGTCACCGGGGAAGTTTTATAAAAGATTGCCACAGTGTATGGCAATGCTAACTTCTTGCCATAGAAATAGCCAGCCCTCTGGTTACGTGTACAGTCGACTCAGTTATACCTAACATTTATGGAGTTTTAAAAGTTTTATAAATCTATATAAATAAAAATTAAGTGTGCGAGAGCCATGCTTCGACACAAATGGGCCGACTCGACCGGAGTGATACCACGGCCCCACATAAAACCGACGTGAAGCAACGCCTTCGTTGTGTTTCGTCGTGTGAGTGAGGTTACCGAAGGCCCAATTACCCTCCGCTTCCCCAATCTCCCCAATCCCTGAATCCCCAACGATCCTCAAACTCCTAATCCCCAAAAAATCGCACTTGTTACGACTCTGGTGTTCCAGGTGACTATGGGCGACGCCTATTGCTTACCATCAGGTGATCCGTCTGCTCGTTTACCGGCTTATGACATAAAAAAAATAATTTTCATTCGTTAGTCTCGCTAAAACTCGAGAACGACTGAACCATTTTGGCTGATTTTGATCGTAAAATGTTCATGAAAGTCTAGGTTCAAAGATGATAATACCTACTAAAATTTTTGGCGGTACCAAGTTTGCCGGGTAGTATATA